TTAGTTTTTACGGCGGGTTTAGGTGAGAATTGGCCGTCCCTTCGTGAATTATGTTTGCATAATATGGAGAGGTTTGGTATGGAGTTGGATAAGGAGAAAAACAAAAACATGATTCTACCCGACCGTTGTAATGATGTTTCCACGTTTTTCTCACAAATTCGTATTTTTGTCATTCCGACTGACGAGGAGAAGCAGATCGCTCGGCAAACGGTGCAATTGATCAATCAAGATTGATAAAAGTTGGCTGTAGGTAATGGGGGGGGGGGGGTTGGTGTCACTCATGGCACTGGCAGGCTCATGCCTTTCGATCGACCGCGGGATACTTAGGTCACGACGCAATGCTTCAACCAAACAACATCGATCGCAGGTGAAACAATATAACACATCAAGCTAAGGAAACTCTGGTTTGTTTTCGAGTTGAAAGGCGGGATGTGTGGCCTGCAGGTAAAGAACTGATTTGATTGATCGGTCCGATTTGGGAGGGAACACGTTTGATTGAGCGGTCCGAATTGCCAGAGAACACGGTAAGATGTTGTTATCCGTGTTGTTGATGTTGTTGCTGTTGTCGTACTGTAGTTGTTGCTGCTGCTGTTGTTTGGCCCCGTATCTACAGCATATACCCCCTCTTTCCAAAGTACAAGTTGGACCAACTTTGCATCGCCTACCTCATGTTCATACAAAAAAGGTACCAACACAACCAAATCCAGGTCCAGAGCAACAAAGCCCCACCACTCTACCAAAAAACATTGACGGCAATGCTTTCTCAACCCTCACGCTGCCGATGTGAGCAAATTTAACAACCAACCACGTGGTGTACCTGCTGGTGGTGGTACGCCGTCTCCCTCGGCAGGAAGCCCGTGCCCGCTGGGGTGAGGTACGTCTTTCGGGGGTTGGACAGGATGTCGTAGCTCCCCTCGCCCTCGGCGTCGCCGCCGTCGCCGTCACCGCCATTTCGGGGGGCCGGCGGAGTGTACCGAAGCAACCCCACCCCGATCTGTGCCGAGGGAGCGAAAACACAAATGCCTCAGAGCAGAGCGATTACCAAGAAGCGTATCGTTTGCGCGGAAATCACGCGGTGTGTTGCGGCTGTGTTTTATGGGTACAGGCCGCTGATGCTGCGCCAAGGGGGGGGTGGGGGGGGGGACTCGGGGGTGGGAACTGCACATCAAAGACACCGCATCCAAGTCTTTGGATTACGAAGCTCGAAAATGTATGGCAAGTTCTGCCGTGCCGTGTGCGGTGGCGCGGAGGTTCACCTTCGAGGTCCGACCGTAGTGGACTAAAAGTCGAACATTCCAGATACTAGACACGGTAGGTCTCACAATGGCCACGTGGGTATACCCACCGGAATGTCGGACAAAATCGGGCAACCTTGTTGCATTCTTGTCCACCACGGTCGCGGTGGGCCTGGGTACGCCCAAGAAACTTGGTAAAAAATGATGTTGCTGAGCATGGGTTTGGGCCATGTTATCCAAGCGTCAGCATGGGATTTGGGTGAGGTGGTTGGACTCGCTCACG